TTGCTTTTGCAACAATAATGCTTATGCCCTTTTAAAAAGCATAATATAAAAGCATACTGGCCCACAGACGGCTAATTTTACCCGGTTTTCCAGTGAAATCATCCCAGTGAACGGGTTTTAAATTCTTACTGTTTGTATTTTGGGCACTTTTTTGGAAAAAAACCGGGCCTGACAAAGTGAAAGGTTAAAAAGGGATTAGAAATTTTTTTCAGTATCTCAAAAAAAGGGTTCAGCTATACTTTTACCCCTTCAAGAATGTTTTAATTGAGAGTCTTTGTTTTTTTCAAAGGTAGATGTCTTTTCAAGCGTATATCCCGAGAAGGGGAAACGTTTTTGGGATAAACCGGGTTTGAAACTTGTGACTGTGCCCGGGGCCCGGGGTGTTGGATTTTGGGTTGTATGGGAGGGGAAAGGGTAAAACTTTGAAAGATCCCAAAGGGTTTTTGGGGTATCCGGTGATGTAGTAAGAAACATGTGGCCCCTTATCTTGGAAAGGGGGCTTTAACATTTTTTATGAAACGGGTTAACAAGCCCTTTCCCCCCCCCAGTGTTTTCCCAGGGGAAAAAGTAAAAACAAAAAGGGTGTGTCGCACAGTGCTTTTAAATTTTAAAAACTTTATGCCCGGGCTAAACGCAGGTGCTCTTTGGTGATGACGTGAGGTGTTTATGCCAAGGACATCATGGTTTCCGGTGGAAGGGGAAAAAGAGATGTCACATTGTTGAAAACCATTCACCGTATAATGCAAGACAGTGGCAAAGTTGATCGGGGATAATGAAAGTATTCAAAAAACCCGTGACAGTGATTGGGTTTTACACAAAACATGTGCTTGGTTGGGGCAAAGGGGACATGCAGATGGTTTTGTTGGGGTGTGGGTTTGTAAGAGTTGATCAAGAAAACGTAATGAAACGATTGCAAATAAAACCCCTACCCCCCGGGCCCGGGGTTGAACCGCGGGCATAGAGTCTCAAAAATCCCCCCCGTCGCGTTAGCAATAGACCCGTAGCCACAAATTAAAATTCACCAATTGGTTTATTTCTACCCATAGGAAAGTTAGACCCGGCACCTCTGTGACCCCAAAGAAAATTTTTTTCAGACGAAATCTCCCGTAGGGGGCCGTGCCAAAATCTAGTCAAGTCCCCTTTACTGCCGTCAACTGACTCAAGAAATGTAATGACACGATTAAATAAACCATTTTCCCCCGGCCCGGGTTGAAAACCCCCGGGCATAGAGTCTCCAAAAATCCCCCCCCCCCCCCCCCCCCCCCCCCCCCCCCCGTGCGTTAGCCTTGACCAGTTTCCACAATAAAATTTTATCCAACTAGGTTTTTTTCTACACCATAGGAAAATTTGCCCCAGGCCCTCTGTGCCCCAAAGCAGTTTTTACAGACGAATCTCCCGCTTGGTTTGGGCCCTGACGAAATTTAAACTCAAGTCCCCTTTACTGCCCTCAAATGACTCAACATTTGGGCATTTTGCGGGAGTGAAAGGGGCTGGCTAGAGTTCGTCACGGCCCCCCGCTTGCTGGGAGATTCTCTGTAAAAACTTGGGATTTGTGGTAAAGGGGGTGCCCGTGCTAACTTTCCTATGGGGTAGAAATATTTCCTTGTTTGGTTTAATTTTATTGTGGTAGGGTGGTCTAGTGGCTAACGGAGGGTGGGTTTTGAGGGTCTTGACCGCGGGTTCATTCCCCGGGCCGGGGGGGGTTTTTGGTTTTCGTTTAAAAGGGTTTCAAAGGGGTTCATGAAAATTTTCTTCCCCTCTCATTTGGGAAATTTTAAGTCAATGCATATTTAAAATGTACCAAATTTAAAGGGCTGGCAACGACCCCGTATGGTGAATTTTTTTTTGTCTGTTGTCAGAAACTCATAAAGAAGTACCCGGTAAGAACCCTGTATCCCAAAAAGGTTTCCCCGAATTTTCAGGGGTAAAACCCAAGCGTTTTAGGAGGGGAAAGGGGTCCTTTTTTAATAAAAGTTCCTTTTAACTCGAAGAAAATTTTTCAGAAGAGAAGCACGTCTGTGCACAAACAAAACGCGGAAAAAAAGATCTCGGTTTTTTGTGTGAGGAATGTAGTATTTGTGATGGTGCCCTTTTTTCAAGGGGTTCCCCAAACTCCAGCGTTCTTAAAAACCCTGTCCAGGGTTTTAAATAGTAAATTTTTTGATAGGAATTTTTAAGGGGTTTTTAAAGATTTGTGCCCTGTTTATTGTAATAAAAAAACCGTGGTAAAAAAATTAAAATGATAAAAAATTTTAGTGCGGTTTTTTTTTGTTTAATACAGTGGTTTATATATATACATTATATACAGTATTGGTCTCTCAGGCCCCAAATGTTAGTGGGAAAAAAGAAAAAAATTGGAAAAGAAAAGAAAAAACTAAAAAAAAACCGTTAAATAATGTAATGCGCTTATGTGGAATTCGTCGATATTGCCGCCACCCACATCTTTTTGGAAAAAACTTCTTGGCACTGTATCTTGGTAAGTACTGATCAGAATTTTTTTTTTTGTCTTTTTACCTTTACCTTCACAAAATATGCTTTTTAATTCTGTAAAAAAAAATAATTTTTTTTTTTTTTTTTTTTTTCAAAATTTCTTGGACACTGGAGCACCACTTCAGATTTTGGCCTTGGACCCTGAAGGGGTTAAACAACCATGGTGACATTACACAGTAAAAGCAGGCCTGTCTAAGGCTTAACTTTTACTGGGAAATAAGTCTCCCTCTCTTCTACACACCCTAACCTGAGCCTCACTATCCTCATAAAAACTCTTTACAGCATATTTTCATTTTTAGTTGATTCTCTGTAAACCTTGGGAAAGTTTAGCTGACAGCCCAGCTGTATCAGTGGCAGCAGAGGCAGCAAGCTCTGTCATTTTTCTCACTTCCAGAGCCCATCAATGCTTCTATGAACAAAAGTTAGAGATAAGATAGGTCCCCTTAAAAATAACTATGGGCACCTTACTGACAAAGAGAATGAAATGTGCTTGATTTTAAATAATTATTTTCTCTCAGTTTTTACACAGGAAGACACTAACAATATTCCAGTAATTAATTTTTACAGTGGGCTAGAAGAAGATAAATTATGTAACATCACAGTCACTAGTGAGATGGTTGTGAGGCAGATAGACAGATGAAGCAAAATAAAGTCGCAGGTCCTGATGAGGTTTTTTCAAGGGTTCTTAAGGAATGCAAAATGGAACTCTGTGAACCATTAAACTAATATTTTTAATTTATCTCTTCAAACAGGTGTAGTGTCTGATATGTGGAAGATGGCTAATGTAACTCCTATTTTTAAAACAGGGACAAGTCGTTACCGTCAAATTACCGCCCAATAAGCCTGACCTCAATTTGTAGGCAAATTACTGAGTCAATTATAGCTGAGATTATAAGAAGCCATCTCGATAAGCATAGCTTGTTTAATGATACTCAGCATGGATTCACAAGAGGCCGGTCTTGTCTAACTAATTTATTAACTTTCTTCAGTAAAGCTTTTGAGCTGTTGACCACAATAAAGAATTTGATATTATTTCTTGATTTTAGTAAGGTTTTTTTGATAGAGTTCCGCACCATAGATGTTAAAGAAAGTGGCAGCTCATGGCATTGGGGGAAAAGTGCTCTCGTGGATCGAGTCATGGCTCACTGACAGGAAGCAGAGAGTGTCCATAAATGGGGTTAAATCCGAGTGGGGATCTGTAACAAGTGGCTTCCCACAGGGATCAGTCTTGGGCCCTTTGTTGTTTATTATAAAATCAATGATCTTGATGAGGGAATTACTAGTGATATGAGCAAATTCCCCGATGACACAAAGATAGGTAGGAAAATTGATTCAAACGTAATGTTAGGGAACTTCAGGAGGATTTAAACAAACTCTATTCTTGGTCAGAAAAGTGGCAGATGCAGTTCAATGTAGATAAATGCAAGGTTCTGAGGCTTGGGAGTGCCCATAACACTAGTACTTAAAATTAAATGATGTAGAACTTAGCCATACAGATTGCGAAAAGGACTTGGGGTTATGGTGAGCAGCAACCTTAAACCAAGACAGCAAGCCAAAGCGTACGTAATAAGGCAAATAGATTACTGGGATTTATATCAAGAAGTGTAAGCAACAGAAGTCCAGAGGTCATACTGCAGCTTTATACATCATTAGTAAGGCCTCACCTAGATTATGGCAGCTCAGTCTGGTCTCCGTATTACAAAATGGACATAAATTCGTTAGAAAACATTCAGCGTAGGATGACAAATTAATACATAGCATCAGAAATCTTCCTTATGAAGAAAGATTGAAGACTCTTAAGTTACATTAAACTTGTTAGACGAAGAATGGGGGGAGACCTGATCGAGTGTATAAGTGGAAGATAGGTATAAATAAAGGGGATATTAAAAAAGGTCTTGAGGATGTCTCCCCAAGAGAGAACGCGCAGTAATGGATTTAAATTAGGTAAGTTTAGATTTAGAAAGGACATAGGAAAGTATTGGTTTGGAAATAGGGTAGTTGATGAGTGAACAGTCTACCTAGTTGGGTTATTGAGGCTGGGACTTTGGGTAGTTTCAAATCTAGGTTGGATAAGTACATGAGTGGGAGGGGTTGGATTTGAGTGGGACTTTCACATCAGAGCTTATTTCTTGGGTGGCATTGAAAATTGGGTTGGGCAAATGTTTTGTTAGTGGGATGAATTGTAAAGGACCTGCCTAGTATGGGCCAGCAGGCCTCCTGCAGTGTTCCTCCTTTTCTTATGTTCTTATGTTCTTATGATGGCCTAATTGCAATCATAACTGCCCTAATGTACGTAGAACCTGGTACGTGTGCCAGTTTGTCCTCCTAATACATCTCCTTACAAGTATCTCTTCAAACTTATTTAAACTCAGTTGTGTTAGGCCATTACCTCTCACTGTTCAACTTCCTCTCATCCTTCTCATTCCCTTCTTTTCCTCTTTTCTGATCAAACTAAAAATAAAATATATTAATTTGTCATTAAAACAGGTGCTTTCTTTCTGTTCCAACAGCCAGATGTTCAACAGGGTAACAGGAGAACAGACAGTGATAATGCTGAAAGTCTTAGGAGAGGATAAAGAGTCACGAGAAACATCATGGCTGGCTGATCTCTGGTTTGATTTCAGGAAAAGGCTAATTACTCTTCTGGGCTTCTCTTTCAAGAATTATGATTGTAAATTTGCTCTTAATATTCTTACCAACAGCATCTATAAGAGAAAAGAAGGTAAGATATAAACATTATATAATATAAATCTGTAGAGGTAATGAGCCATGAGATGTGTTTACTATATTCTTAATTTATATACAGGAAGGCCCCACTTATACGGCTGGTTAGGTTCCAGGCTACCGCCGTAAAGCGGAAACCGCCGTAAAGTGAAACACCCTTTTTTTCCACTTACAAATGCATACAAACACTAGATAACAAGTTTACACTAACATATATTAAGTTAGCAATAGAACCAGGCATCAAAAAACAATAAAAAGTACAATACACACATAGTGCACTCATTACTTACCTTAAAATATTTATAGTCTTAATCTAGGGTGAGACAAGTAGTATTTATTGTAAGAAATCAAGTGTGGTATGTATGGTAGTCAGCCAGGCTACCATACCAGGCCACCCCACCCCCACCCTACAATTCTATTATTTAAGTATCCCAGAGCGATAAAATGTATATACAGTTCACTCATTACTTACCTTAAAATATAGGGTGAGATGAGTAGTATTATTGTAAAAAATCAAGGTGGTATGTATGGTAGTCGCCGGGCTACCCTACCAGGCCAACCCACCCACACATATATTCCATGATATTTAAGCATCCCCGAGCGATAAATGTATATACAGTCCACTCATTACTTACCTTAAAATATTTGTAGTCTTAAAAGTACGGTCACGAGTAAGTAAATGAGATAAAACGAATAAATGAGAGAGAGAAGAATGAGTGCATGAGAGAGGACAGGCGCAGAGTTAAAGGGAAACAAACCAGGCGAAGGTAAGTTTTGTAAACAAAGTGTACACGTCTGGTTTGTGTACAAGTTACATTGTGTACAGGTTGTCTTACATTGATTTCGGTAGAATAAATAAAGAAGAACACTCCCCCTTTCATGTAACATCATTTTGAGAAGAAATGATGCTCTGATGAAGGCAATGGGAAAAAAGTCACTCTGTCTGACTTTTTTTGGGGTTTTCCTAGGTTCTCTACACAATGTTGTTATGTAAAGATAATCTATGTAACTGTATTTGTGTATACCTGAATAAAATTACATACATACGAAAGGAATAATTTTCTACAGTTACCCCCAGTAACACATTTTTTCTTACGTTAGATTAGAGAAAATGTTATTCTTGGCATCATTGTACAAGTTTTCTGGCTACGACATCTCATATTTATGTTTTATTTATTCTATTGTGGGGTGTATTTTCATCTTTTTATGTTATGTATCGTGTTTATTATATAATTTTGAAAAATATCATGGATGGATTAATGAAAATGTGTATATTAACGTAATATACAACATTTAATAAGACTCGGTGATTATTAATATTATTATTAGCATTTCTAATATGGCGTCATTGTGCAAGTCGTCTGCTACCACTCTCATATTTATGTTTATTTATTCTATTGTGGGGGGGTTTTTTTATCATCTTTTTATGTTATGTACGTGTTTTTATATAATTTTGAAAAAATGTCTAGATGGATTAATGAAAATGTGTATTTAATGTAATATACGAAAATTTAAATGAGACGATGATTATTATTATCATTACTAATATGACGTCTGGAGACATAAGACACTCTTACTGATTTTAATGTGTACCCGCATGCCGCACAGTATGTAAGTTTATTTAAGTACAGGTATACATAAGTAATAAATTATCAGAGTATATATAAAATATGAAATAACTTTTAAAAACATTTGAAATTTTGGAGTTTCCAGACAAAATGGAGAGACTTAGTGCTTACTGAGCTCACGAAGAATGTAAACAAACAAGGTGGGGCGCGGTGACCGTATTAGAAAGTCAGGTGGGGGGAGCCGTATAGCGAGTTTTGGTCATAATTTGAAATGACCGTATTAGCGGAACGCCGTAAAGTGAAACGCCATAAAGCGGGGCCTTCCTGTAGTTTCTTTTGATGTCAGTTTGGTTTAAATTAATAAGTTGCATAAGTGTAAGTAAAAAAGGCTATTGTGTTTATTGTCATGCAAAAGATGGTTAAGTAATAAGTTTGTTATCATTTACTGGACATTTTATGGTTTTTATTTTTGTTTTCCTCTTGTATTAGAGGGTGGATAGGAGAGCAATGTGGCAGACATTGCAAGTGTATAGAATAGGTAGTAACTCACTAAATGCTGTCTTTCTTTCACTGCACCGGCCATATCCCATCGAGGTAGGGTGGCTCAAAAGGAGAAATAAAAGTATCTCCTTTTACATTTAGTATTATTGTATATACAGGAGAAGGGGTTACTAGCCCCATGCTCCCAGCATTTTAATCGCCTCTTACAACACGCATGGCTTAGGAAGGAAGAAGTCTGTTCCACTTCCTCATGGAGTGTATAACATATTTATAGATGGGCTTATAAAAGAGGTAACTTCTAGGGTGTTGGGGAGAAGGGTGGGATTAAATTATGGGGAATCAAATACAAACTGGGAATTGACACAGCTACTTTTTGCTTTTGGGAGATTCTAAAGAAAAGTTGCCAAGGTTAGTGGACGAGCTTGGGAGGGTGTGTAAAGGAAGAAAGTTGAAAGTGAACGTAGATAATAGTAAGGTGATAAGGGTATCAAATGAGTTAGATAAAGAAATATAAGAACATAAGAAAGAAGGAACACTGCAGCAGACCTATTGGCCCATGCAAGGCAGGTCCAAGTCTTCCACCAGCTTAAGCCAGTGACCCAACCTTGTCATGTCAGATCACATTCACTTAAGGAGAATGGCATCAGACCTATTAGCACAAGTTAGTCAGGTCCAGCTCACACCCATTCATGTATTTATCTAACCTATTTTTAAAACTACACAACATCTTAGTTTCTATGACAGTACTTGGGAGTTTGTTCCACTCATCCACAACTCTATTACCAAACCAGTGCTTTCCTATATCCTTCCTGAACCTGAATTTTTCCAACTTAAAACCATTGATGCGAGTCCTGTCTTGGCTAGATATTTTTACATCTTCTGAGGATTCCTATTACAGTGGACCCCCGCATACCGTTGGCATCACATAACGATTAATCCGCATACCGCTTGCTTTAATCGCAAAAATTTTGCCTCGCATACCGCTTAAAAACCCGCTCACCGATTTTCGTCCGAGACGCGTCCAATGTGCGCCCTCAGCCAGCCTCACATTTGCCGCCAGTGGCATTGTTTACCAGCCAGCCTCCGCGGTAACATCCAAGCATACAATCGGAATATTTCGTATTATTACAGTGTTTTCGGTGCTTTTTCTGGAAAATAAGTGACCATGGGCCCCAAGAAAGCTTCTAGTGCCAACCCTACAGCAATAAGGGTGATAATTACAATAGAGATGAAGAAAAAGATCATTGATAAGTATGAAAGTGGAGTGCGTGTCTCCGAGCTGGCCAGGTTGTATAATAAACCCCAATCAACCATCGCTACTATTGGTGGTACAGCTGCTGCTGCACTGTCAGCTGCTGCTGCTGCTGTAGCATCGTCTGCTACTGCTGTAGCATCGTCTGCTGCTGCTGTAGCATCGTCTGCTGCTGCTGTAACATCGTCTGTTGCTGCTGTAGCATCGTCTGCTGCTGCTGTAGCATCGTCTGCTGCTGCTGCTGCTGTAGCATCGTCTGCTGCTGCTGTAACATCGTCTGTTGCTGCTGTAGCATCGTCTGCTGCTGCTGTAGCATCATCTGCTGCTGCTGCTGCTGTAGCATCGTCTGCTGCTGCTGTAACATCGTCTGTTGCTGCTGTAGCATCGTCTGCTGCTGCTGTAGCATCGTCTGCTGCTGCTGTAGCATCGTCTGCTGCTGCTGCTGCTGTAGCATCGTCTGCTGCTGCTGTAACATCGTCTGTTGCTGCTGTAGCATCGTCTGCTGCTGCTGTAGCATCGTCTGCTGCTGCTGCTGCTGTAGCATCGTCTGCTGCTGCTGTAACATCGTCTTTTTGCTGCTGTAGCATCGTCTGCTGCTGCTGTAGCATCGTCTGCTGCTGCTGTAGCATCGTCTGCTGCTGCTGTAACATCGTCTGTTGCTGCTGTAGCATTGTCTGCTGCTGCTGTAGCATCGTCTGTTGCTGCTGTACCACCGTCAGCTGCTGCTGCTGCTGTAGCAACACGTTGTTGGTGTGGCTTATTGAGAATACCAAGAAACAATTAACCCCAGAGGATTTGCCACCCAGGATAACCCAAAAAAGTCAGTGCCCATCGAAGACTGTCTAACTTATTTCCATTGGGGTCCTTAATCTTGTCCCCAGGATGCAACCAACACAAGTCGACAAACACCCAGGTGAACAGGGAAAAATGCCTGGAACTAGTGCTCATATTGGTGAATTTAAAGCCAGCAAAGGTTGGTTTGAGAGTTTTAAGAATCGTAGTGGCATACACAGTGTGATAAGGCCTGTTCTGGAAGAAAATGCCAAACGGGACCTACATACTCAGGAGGAAAAGGCACTCCCAGGACACAGTGTCTCATCAGTCATTGCTGCATCTTCAATAAGGTAAGTGTCATTTATTCTTCATTTAGTAGACTATACATGCACAATAAATACTGTGCATGTACTACTCTACTATTGTGCATGTATCCTTCTCTTTGTGTGTAGGAAAATGTATATTTCATGTGGTAAAAATTTTTTTTTCATACTTTTGGGTGTCTTGCACGGATTAATTTGATTTCCATTATTTCTTATGGGGAAAATTCATTCGCATACCGATTATTTCGCATAACAATGAGCCCTCTTGCACGGATTAAAATTGTTATGCGGGGGTCCACTGTATTTATGCTTCTTGATATGATGCCAAGGATTCTGTTCGCTTTATTGTGGACACTTATGCACTGTTGTCTTGGTTTTAAATTACTGTTAACCAGAACTTCCAAATCCTTTTCGCAATCAGTAATACTAAGATCTACATTATTTAGATTATACAGTGGACCCCCGCGTTTCGGCGGCCACGACTTTCATGAAATTCGACTTTCGGCAACTTTTTTTATCAAAATATATCCTCGCAGTTCATGATTGGCCTCGTGATTTGTCTGTTGTATGGGACGCATCT